CTTTATCTCTCTAAGAAGTCTATCCCAAATCAAAGTGAACTTCATCAATTATTATTTATATAAAAAGTTTGTCACAGAGCAAAGTGATTAATCAAATCCTTGAACCAATTTTAAGGTTCCTTTTGACTTCCTCTTGCTTGTAGCATTATTTTGAATCGTTTAAATATTCTTTTTTATACATATTTTTTCAAATATAAAAATGATTATTATTGGAACTAGGGGTGTCAAAATCGGGTTTCGGGTCGAATCTGGAACTGACCGGGGTTCAAACGAGTCAACCCTAACCCGACTCGGGTTGACTCGACCCGACACGGGACGGCGGAACGTGCGCCTGCGTGCGGGTGAGCGAGTGCACAAGGGAGAGCGGGTGCGGGCAGGCTCGGGCCGCCTCAGCGGGAGCGCGGGCAGCAGGCTGGCAGGCACGATCGCGTGGGTAGCTGGGCGGGTAGCCACGGGCGGTACGTGGGCAGTCGGGGCAAGTTTGCTTGCAGCCGAGGCAGGTTCGTTGGCAGCTCATTTAAATGGGTTTTCGGGTAGACCCGGCAACCCGTCGGGTCAACCTGAACCCGACCCGTTTTGAAATCGGGTCGGGTCAAAAACGAAATTTTTGAGTCAGATTTTCGTGTCGTGTCAAATATTGACACCCCTAATTGTAACTTATTTGTTAGATGTTTTACTTCACAGTTTCAATGTCACTACTTGCATTTGACATATATATAATTCCCCTTTTGAGTACTTATATTTTGATTAAGTTAATTATGTGGAAGTTTAAATTAGATAGAATTATGAGTTTGTATGGGAGATCTATTACCATATTGTATCCAAAGTCCAAACAACTATTATTTATCTAAGAAGTCTATCCCAAATCAAAGTGAACTTCATCAATTATTATTTATATAAAAAGTTTGTCACAGAGCAAAGTGATTAATCAAATCCTTGAACCAATTTTAAGGTTCCTTTTGACTTCCTCTTGCTTCTAGCATTATTTTGAATTCTTCCAATATACTTTTTTATACATATTGTTCCAAATATAAAAATGATTGTTATTGTAACTAATTGGTTTCATAGTTTCATTGTAACTTCTTGCATTTGACATTTTTTAACATCATCCAAAACTTATTTTAATTATCAATGATTGAGAATTAAAGATTCATTTGTTCATAATAATATTTCAATCAACTCATGTCCAAAATAAATCAATTTTGGCCTCCCTCGAGTTTACAAACTCAATAAATTTTTAGCTGGAATTTAGCTCATTTATGAGCTGGTTTTTTTAGTTCATTTGTTTAACTAAAGGTCAATGTTTAAAATTGCATATTCGGGTATTGAGGCTTTTTTAATTTGTGAGGCTAGGCGTAAGCCTCAAAATGAAAAAAATCGCGCAAACATAAAAAGATAAAATTTTTATATACTAATGAGTGAATAATATAAAACATAAAAAAGCATAAGATATGAAGTGAAATCAAAATATCCCAATAATAAGACAACATGAAATATAGTTCAACTCAAAATTCTATCTTTCCTATATCACAGTATTCTTTTCATTAAAATATAATTTCAATTTCCAAAAATAAATAGCAATGAAATATCACATAAGAACTCATAAGTCATCAGCACTGTCATCACTAAGGGGTTCTTCATTTGAATCATCATTATGATGAACTGCTCTCTCCCTTTCCTCCTCTCCTATAGAGTCAAATATTGGGCATTTACTTCAAGATTTATGTAAGTTTTAATATATATAGCATGAGTCGTAAGCCTCATGCCAGTGAGGTGAGGCGGGTCTCAAGGCGGTCCTAAATCAAGTTGAGGCGCAAGCCTCATAAAAAAAACTCGAGACGTAAGCATCGAGATGTCTTTTACTGGAATAGCGCAAAGGCAGGCCTTAAGGAAAGCCTCATATTGCATAATTTTAAACCATGCTAAAGGTTAGTTCATTATTAGATAGGTTTAGTTCATTTATTATCTTATTTATGTAGTTTTATCTTTTAAAATTCTATGCTTGGCCTCTTGGGTTCCCATGCCTTGGCTCGTTGGTTCCCACGACTGCCTCCTTGGTTATTGTGGTCGCCTCTTCAATTTTTGGTGCTGTGTGGCCTTTCTTGTGCTTTGATGCCTCGGTTCCATGCATGCCTCCTTGGTTCTCGTGGCTGCTTCTTCGGTTCCCATGGCTGCTTCTTCGGTTCCCTAGCTGGGCTCTTTTCCGTGAAGTTGGGGGTGCTTTTCCGTGGCTTTGGTGCTTCGTTTTCGGGAATTGACTGTTGGCTTTTCATTTCCTTTATTTAATAAGATTTTAATTAATGTATGTGGCTGATTGTCTTCCCTTCTCATATCTATATATATGAGATGTTTTAGAGTTGTAATGTTAAGTGATATGATGTGATTTTTGGAGATAACCTGCGAGTTCTTGGAAACGCTTGCGAGCTTTGTCCACTTCTTCCTCTCATCCCCTCCAAAAATCTTGCGAGCTCTTTCCAACCTTTCTTCTCAGCTTCTAACCTCTTTCGTCTCTCCGCAAGTGACCCCCTCACATGTATCCCTCTTCTCAAAGTAAGCAAGTTTAGGGTGTCTTGTTTGAGTCAAGTTTGTAAGTGTCCAAGTTGTAATAGTTTTTTTTATATATATAAAATGATATTATTTGTGTTCATTATGTCTCTTCTATTATTTAGGAAAGCTTTTATTTTGTTAGGCAAGAAATCAGGGTCCCCCAGATTTTTTGCCTACATCAAACTAGCTTGTGCTTTGATATGTGCATAGCTCTTCGATAGCATTGGTCATGCTTAGAAAGGTTCAAAAGTTTGTCGCTTATTAGTTTGTCAATTTTAATACCAGATTTAAAAAAGAAAAAAAATGATTGTGGATTTCATGAACAGGTTAAGTTTGTAGATTGCTACACAGTCACAACTCGTGAGCTTGAATCTATCACTACAAAGTATAATTTGACGTCTATGTTGCGAGGTAAGATGTTCTCATATTAAAATTTAGTCTTATTGATTGTTAACCCCTATTTTTGGGTCATGCTTCTCTTGTAAGTTCTGCAATGATATTTTTACAGATTCTCTAACTGGAGTTTTCATTTATCATCTATAGATAGGGCAATAAGCTTCAGACGTGGATCATGATCAAATTTGGGATATAAGAACAATTTTTAAGTACCCTGTTCATCATTTGACCAAGTTAGTTTTTACTTCTATAACTTTTTAGTGTTATTTTTTGTTGTCAGTGGTTTATTAACTCAGTTATCTTACATGGATAGGGCCAACCCAATTTTAGTTACAAAGGAACCTAGTGGGACAGTCTTGTTAGGCCTCTTAAGTTGAGGTAGTTGTGGCAGTGGTACATTATCGTCCGAGCACACTCATTTTTTTATTTGCATCTTATTTTAGATTTCTCTCCTCGAACCTATTGGCTTCAGTAATTTTTGTGTTCCTGCCTTAACTTCACCAGGACATTGTCCTTTTTTCCTGCTCCTAGACCTCAGCATTGGTAATTCAACATCATCTATCGCATGCTGATTGGTGTTCCTTGTAATGATGCCCTGACATATGTCGCCTCCTCTGATCTCAATGCTCTATTTTATTAACCTTTGTTGCTTCTATTGTGACCCCACTTCCAATGAAATTGGTGCCATGTTTCCATCCATAGTACAAATCATTTATGGACGATACTCTGTAGTTGTAAATCTTTTTATTCTTCTCTCTCTTGAAATATATTTGATTTTTCTCTTTTCATGTAAACGAATTGAGAAGAGTAGAAAAGTGGCACCTATTGATTGTAGAAACTTAGACGAGCTTCTTGATGTTTTACTCTATTGTGAGTTAGATATTTTATGAGAGTGGACCATCACTTTGGGCTGCAGTCCTCTTGTGATTGGAAAGAGAGAGAAATGAATAATCAATATTTCCCGAAAAATGATGAGAGGAATCAATGAGCAATGGAGACGAGAGAAAGAGGAGAAAGGCGGTCATGGAATATTTGATTTGTTTCAATTTAGGATAATGAAATAACATCAACCTAATGCTATTTATAGAAATAGGGTTTATAATTTAAATTGAAAATTTATTTTGACATCTAATCTAAATTAAAACATATCATCTCAATTCAAATTTAAAATAAGATTATTCAATAGAATTATCAAGTCAATAGTTGGAGCAACATAAATTTGTTCAACGAGTTTTTTGTCTAATATTTAAAATAAGCATCACGTAAATGTTGGCTATATCTTATAAATAAAGGTTGACCAAATAGATTACTAACATCATCCTTAGAATAACTGACTAATTGATTCGGTTCACGACATGTTTCAATGATAGTTAGAGATATCTTGTTAGCCCATACAACATTGAAAGGACTTGGAGGTGGCTCTTCTTTGAGATTGCATTTAATTAATATGGCTTTTCATACTCTATTCACAGTATTTCCACCAATTATGACTAACTCGATCGGACCTGCTGCTATTTGCAAGAAGCATTTGTGTGGAATATTCGACTTTTCTTTCAATCTTCATCCATGTGAGATCTAGTAGCATTCATCTTGCAACAGCTGAATGACCATCATATTTATCATAATCTAGTAGCTTTAAGTTATTAGTTTCATGAATCCAAGCTATTAAAGTAGCTAGTTGTATAAGATGGTCCTTTGTCAATTTGGTATTAGAGAACATATCTTCAAGAAAATAACAGCCCCAAAAATCATGTCTAACATTATATTACATTATATTCTCGAACTTGATTGTGATTTTATCAATCGCTCGACTATTTACATATATTCTCGAACAACTATCGTTTTTAGTTGCAAGTAATTCAGGTACAAAATATGGATTCATAATCCCCAAATAAATCTTCTCCTATGGAATTCATTCTTCTTTTTATTTCATTTTATTTTGAAGAATTCATCATACAATGTGGTTAATTAGCGAATGATGGTCAATGCAAAACATACAAAAGCATTTTAGCTCAAGATAAGCAAATATTTTTCCTTTTTTTTTTTCAATAGGAGCCTTTGATTTTCATGACACGGTGACTCTTAACTCGATAGGTTTCAAAATTGTCCTCCTTATATTTACCTTAAATGCATTAGTATTTGGCTTCTTAAAGTGTAACATCTAAATCATCCTATATATATATATATATATATATATATACAAGTGATTCCAGAAATTTCTAATTCGTGTCACTGATTTATTCCTACGATGTTGCATGTTTTGCATGCAGATTATAAGAAATTGATTTTCTTTAATTTCTTATAATCTGGATACCAACCTTGATTATTTATTTATTGTTCGTAGTGGAAGTTAACCTTTGTCTTCTTTAAATGGAAGCTCCTCTCCATGAATTTGCTTTCTGGTTCGATGCTGAGTTCAATGGTCCTTCAACTTTCCCTGCCAACAACAATTTACTTTATGGGAGTTCAACTTCCGACTTGTATTCTAATGCTTACAATAATCAAAGGAGACAAAAAGCCAAATCTGATCAAGTGCTTGTGCTTTCCACTGCACCAGAGGATGAACCAACTCATTGGCAACATGATGCTTTATCTCATCCTTTTTCAGACTGGATTCTTATTTGCCAATCTTCTTTACCATTCTGAATACCATGGATTTACATACATACCATTAAATTTTTATGGATTTATATATCTGATCTCTATATCTTTATATTTTGGTAGATAAAATTCTAATTTTTAAAATGAATTCAACATATATACATGAAATTATATTTTTTTATTTTGAATAAATTCATATTAGTTATATTTGTAATATCATTTTGAAATTAAGGTGTTAGAAAGTAAACATATATACATGAAATTATATTTTTTCTCCATTGTGTCATGTTAAAAGTCAAATTCTCATTTAAATCTAATAAATAAAGATCATATCTAATATTTTCTTACAAAGCCTTTTTAGGCCTTTCTCTACTTTTATTAGCATAAGTCAAATCTAATACCTCAACTTTCCTAACCGGGTCATCGAAAGCCCGCTGTTTTCGTGACCAAACCATCTAAGGCGACTCTCTAATCTTATCTTCCACTGAAGCTACTCCAACCTTATCACGTATATATGCTCACTTTATATCCTATCTCTAAGGGTAAAGCACTCATCCATTTTAGGTGACATTTCAGACCATACTATACTTAAATGAACTGATAGAGGTCATACAAGATCAAACAATTGAAGGTTCCATTACTCTCTCTCAAAGTAGGGAGAACCCACGCTTCCTGAATATTCACCTTGAGTACATGTAATGGGATTCGCTTATGAACATTGAGATTAAAAAGCCATGCCCAAGGTCAAAATGCTCATTAAGGATAAGTCGTAGTTCTGGTAGGTAGCTTTTGTAGGTTTATGACAAATGATTTCCCACTTCTTTTTCTAGCTTCTCTAGTCTATTTGTGTTTATGGAAGTGAGAACGACCACAATAGGAATAATGGAAAACTAAGGGGGGATTTAATGAATAAGAAAAGGGAATAAGAAGCATATGGATACAAAGGGAAGCATATGAAGAGGTATTTAATTAATGAATAGGAAAAAAAAACTAAGAACTATTGGGACATTTGAAGGGCTTCTGCTAAGAAATTAAGAATAATGGAAGGCTAAGATTCTATTTAAGTAACTAAAATGAAAGGCCATGATTTTATTTGGAAAGAAATGCAAGCCCTTTTTATAATTATAGTATACATTTTGTATAGCGAGGAAGAAGAATAGCTACATGTTATTTTCATTTAAATATAAATATTGTTATCTACAGTAGCAGTCCATTTTTATACTCTTGAAGTTATCTTACAAAAATTTTGTCCTTCTTATGCTTCAAGTTCAAGAGACAGATCATTTCCATCAAAGCCAAGTCACTTATCAACTAAGCAAATAATTAGATGAGATTTGCTGAGCAGCTCAACTCTTTTATTTTGGAATTCATATATATTCTTTCATGAATTGGATACTTACTATTGTGGCCTTAGTTTTTTTTTCTCTTGTAATTGTTGATTGATTGAATGCAATATATGCAATATGCTCAGGGATACTTACTATTGGGTTGTGCCAATAAGATCTTCTTCAGAATAGACTTTCTCTACTTTAAGAGTATGTCCAATAAACGAAAGAGAAGTAGGATATAAAATAGTATTGATTGACAGACAACTTCATTAGTATGGACAAGGTTAAGGTTTGGGTTGGGATCAACTATATTTTATCTTCTTTTCAGAGATTATTATACTAAAAAAGGTAACTTTACAAAGCAGTAAGAAAGCCGTCCCAAATGAAATCTCATTTGAGATGACTTTCTAACTGCCTTCTAAAATAACTTTCTAGTACAAAATTTTTTAATTCAAAATTTTCTTATACTAGAAAGTTGCTTTAAAAATTAATAAGTAAGCTGTACTAAATAAAGCCTAAATTAGAACAAAAACTTTAGATGACTAGAGAAGATTAGCATCTAACTACGCATGCCTTGATAAATTTTTATTTATAGATGGTTCAAATAATTCACAAAATCAAATAATTTTATGAATTAAATTCATTTTCTTAAAATTAATAGCCCACCGGGACACATTATGTCTCTCTATTATAAAAGTTAATACATTTTATATGCAAATATTAGTGGGTGAAAATTGGACTGATGTGGGCCATTTTTTATACTCTATTGATAAATTATAAATTTTAATCAAATAAATTCAAATTCAAAATATATTTTCCTTAAGAAAATTTATACAGTAAATCAAAGTTTTTTTATATTTTTTTTTTATTTATATTTGTCTCAAGAAATAACATACCTTTTAATTGTTTAGTTTGGCTTTAGCGAATAAACAAACAGGAAAATTATGCTGATGATATATTGATCAAGTTTTAAAATCTTTCAATTTAAGTTAAAATGAGTATAATCTATGAATAAAAATTATATTATGTGTTGTATTAATCTCCTCATTTAGTATATCATTCAAAGTTATTAATCAATTTGTTCTATATTTGTTTGTATCCTTTTTACCATTATATGGAAGGCCCGTAAAAAAACTAAACAACTCGTTTAAGGTATCTAATTCTTTGGTGGTGGAGCAAATGAGTACTTGGATAACCTTAAAATTTTACAGTAGAGTATTGTGATCATGTAGTTAAAACTAATAAGAGGAAAATTACATTAATTATGCATCAATTTTTTCACTTAGATAACTAAGAACTTAATGAACTAATCAATTGTGACTTGTGCAATTGGATCTTATCAAAACAAACAGCTCGAGAAATCCTCTAAATCTCCAATATGTTTGTGGGCTCCGAAAATTCAGCCCCGAAGAAAATTGTCGATCAAATCTCCTCTTCCAAGATCAAAATTCAGCATAGAAAAATCTGTAATGCGTCTCCGGAGACTGAGTCTGGAAGGTTACGGCCATGATGACAAAAGTCAACATCAAAATAAAAACTCGGAGTCAGATGCAAGAATTCATAGCTAAGTTGTTTTCATTGGCAAACTTCATTCTAATCACTTCTCTTTTTTTTTGAAGCAGCAGCAACAACAATCACAAATAGAAGAAGATCAAATAAAAGAAGTTTCTCATGATGAAATCAAAGAGAATAAAACCATTGAAAAGTTCGGTCAACAATGGGGTGTTTGTCTAAGGGGATAAATTTGAATCCACCTTAGCTAACAGAGGGTTTTGTGTCCTATCGATCATATCCTATTGATTCATATCTCAAGAATTTGATGCCACTAAGGAACATATTAGCTTTGATCATAACCGGTATTTTGTGGTGCCATTTGGTGGCAAAACCACTCGGTTTAGAGGGCCCCGAGTCATAACCGTTTATCCTGCAGTGCCATTTGGTGGCAAAATTGTTAGTTAGAGGACACGTACCACTTCCTTATTAGCAGTAGATTGTTTGATAATGGATCCTAGTGATGTTTTTGACTAGGCATTTGGCTCTTTGTGAGCTGATGTTATATTTCAATTTGTCCACATCGACAAACTGTTGTGGATGGAGGATGAATTTTGCTTTAAGTGTTTGATAAGTTGAACCTAAATTTTAAATATTTAGATTTTAGGATTTTTGTAGGCTTTGGATTTATGGAATTTTGGGATGGCATTTGAAGTATTTGATGATTAACCCCTCCGGTTGAGATAAGCATTCAACACGGTCATCATCGGGGTGTAATGGGTTATGTCTCTTTGTTAATTGAACCCTGTCGACCCTATCAACTTGCCGATAAAGGATCGAGTTTCATAGTCTTTATGCATTTGCTAGTGAATTCTCTTGATTATAGGCCTTGAAGGCCTAATATGAATATATTAAAACAAATACATCGGTCGCCACAACCGTATATTTGTTTGATGGTTTGAACCCTATATACTCTTATTTATATGCATAGAAGGATCGGGTTCGAACCTGAATTTACTTATCGACCCGCGCAGCATCCCTACACGTCACGTATGTACTAATAATATACTCGTCGGGGCCCATGCGGGTGTTTGGGGGCATTTTTATAGTTGTTTGTTGAACCTTGTCAACTTTTATTACTTAGGAAGACCGTATTTGAATTTATTAACCCGCATAGCATCCCTAGACATCACGTGTATACCAATAACACGCTCGCCAGGGCCCTTGCAGGTTTTGATTGCATTTACCCATTGTGTTCCTATGTGTATACAAACTACATTGCACGTGCAAGGGTAATCTAAAATATTTGTAAACGCCTTCTATCCGCTTGCAAGGATGTTGCAGATCCGGTGGCGTTATAGGTTCTCAACTATTGCTGCTTATAGGCAGGTAGATATCTTCATCCACATATTGAAATCGACTACATGATATTGCATTCGCTTAAGCTCTTTACACCTAGTTTTTATGTTGAGCTCAGACCCCAATGCAAGCTCAAGTCTTTATCATTTGATTCAAATTCTGAGTATAGTTCCAAATGATCAACTTGTATGTTAAGTTCAAATTCAAGTCCAAATTTTTATCTTCAAGTTCAAATGCTGAAGCTCTTTACACTTAGTTTCCTTGAGCTCAAGTCCTTGTTCTAATTAACTTGAACTTTAAGCCATTTTGTGATTCACTTAAGTTATAGTTTAGGTTCAAGTTAAATTCAATGTGATTCGGTCCAAGCTTAAGCTTCAGCTTGAGTCCACAATGCAAGTTCATTTGATACAAATCCACAAGTCCTCAGCTCATTTTTTTTATCACCTATTAAGTTCAAATTTTGTTCAAGTTTATACTTAGTTCATTAATGTCTAGTTCAAGTCCCCTGCTGTCTTTTAGAGTTCAAGTTCTTGTTCTTTTGAGTTCAAATCAGGTCCGAGGTGTGATCGTATATTCACCCAAAATTTTGGCAGCCTCCCGGCGTCTCCCCCATTTAGGGGAAAACTACGAGAAACTGAGCCTTCCCTCTACGCACAATAAAGGCATGTATGGTAGGTGTCCTCGGACGAGGACACTGCAGCCGTGATCTTTATCCATATAACATGCAATAAAGGCGTGTATGGGGTCTTCAGTACCTGTTTAAAAGACACAATTTTGCTTTCCACCCACTCGGAGGTACTTATGAGTGAACCACCTCGCCGTAGGCGCTGCACCGGGGTCCCATCCCACCACGTGCAATAAAGGCGTGTATAGGCAATTTTTCGGTGCGCCACAAACATTGAAGTAGGGCTTTAGGTGATTACCCGCCTCCTCACACCGGGGTCTTATTCCACCATGCACAATAAAACATGTATGGGCAGTTTTTCGATCCGCCGCAAACAACGAAAACAAGTTCTCGAAGTTTTAGCGTTAAGAAGTTACTCCTGCACATGGATCGAGATAAGAGCATTTTGTTTTCTTTCTTCTTTCTAATTATAATTAGTTATTAATAAGTATAATAAACTTTAATTAATAATACAATTTATTCTGAAAATAAGAAGTTAAGAGAACAAAGTCTGTTTTAATATAAGCATGAAGTATAGGGCTTTTTTTTAATATATGTTAACCATTTTAGATTACTGTGTAGAATTTGTTTTGATTATGAAGTATTTAAAAGTAAAATAATATTTGTTGAAATTGGTTAAAAGTTTAATTTAGAATTATTAGTTTATTATATACATTTTAAAAAGTTTTGGCAGTTAAATAATTTTCAGACATCTCAATATAAAAGTATCAAGGTACTTTAGTTATAATAGGAGATTGAAAGTTATACCATCCAAGTAAAATATTATGTTTTTGCAATGATTTTAAAAAGTAACTTTTTATGCAATAGTTTCACAATCTGATTTACTGAGAGTTGTAGCCATTTCAAACACACCTTGAGTTGATCTCAGCAATACATTTCAAAGTGCGATTAAAGAAAGAGTGTTTTGTGTCTTCTGTGATGTCATTTGATCGAAAAATTATTCAGTGTGGACTCCGGGCATAGCTCTACATCCAGACTCCAATAAAATGTCATCACTTATGGCTTGACAACCCCGCGCGGCTCGAAGAATGATCCAGACCAAACTCAAAAAGTTACTTTTATTCAGGCATTTCAATTTTTCAAAATCGATCTAGTCATTTCAATTTTTCAAAATTGATGGGGGCATTTTAGTATCTCTTGTTAAAGGCACTTTTCTTCTTCGTCCGAAGCTCCTTCTTTTTGCTCTAGATTTTCTTTGCAGAAACACTAGTCATGACTAAGGTCAATTTTTTATTATCAGGATAAGAAGTTCTTTTTCACTAGATATGTTAGTTTTTTTTTTCTATGAGATATGTTAGATTTATTCGTTCTGCAAATGTCAAGTTAGGGTTTAGGTTTAGGATTTTTTTATACTCTGTACCAGTGTGTACGGTGTGCACCTATGGGTACTATGTGTACAGGTGGATACCGGTATGAATCGGTGGATATCGGTGTGTATCGATAGATATTGATGTGTTTTGATGTCCATTATTTATTGTTCAAATGAAGAATTTAACATTTCATTTCAATGACGATTTATTTCATTTTTCTGCTCATGTGTTCCTTTCTTGTGTGTTTATGTGAAGTTTTGTGTACCTTGAGTACTTCTAGGTACCGCATTTGGGTACTACTGGGTACTCCATTTAGGTATTTATGTATATCAATTTTGTGTACCTTTTGGTGAAGGTTATCATTTTGGTGAGAGTGTGTCCAAAGAACTTTGCCTAGCTAGTAAGCCAAAAATTTTATTTAATAAAAAAAATTAAAGGTTAATTGATGAAATAAAATAAAATTTTATTTAAAAATTTTTCAAATAAAAATAAAACAAGTTTAAAATGCATTTTTATAAATATACTATTATAGGTAAAAAATTTGAAATATATTAAAAAAATGAAAATACATAATTCATCTAATTTATACTTAAATATATAAAAATATTTTTTTTTTCTAATTTTGAATTAACTTTGAATAATAATTTGAATTAAGTTATGCATAACGGTAACTTCGTATTTGGGCGTTCGTTCATCCGGACTTCAAATTGAATCTTTCATAATTTATTTTTCCGTCCGTTAACCCTTGTGCGTTCTCTATAAATAAAGCCCTAATCTGGCTTTACATTTTATTTCCTTTTCCTTCCTCCCGACTCCCTTCTCTACTCTCTATTAACTTTACTTCTAAACTTGCTCAAGCGGTCGACCGCAGATGCATCGATGCGGAAGAATCTACCGCTCACGAGATCTACCATGGCCTCGGAGACTCTCCCCGTTCTGGAGAATGGCTCTCGATGCTGAAGAAGGTAGATCTCTCTCTCTCAATCTCATGATTCTCATTTATATTATGCATCTTGTAGTATCCGGAAGGGTTAGAGAGCTTTAGGGGTTGTTTGGATGCTGGATTTATGCCGATTTTGAGTAGGATTTATGCCAAATCCTGCCATACGGGATTGCATCGCCTGCTAAATCTCCTCACGGCAGAATAAATCCTACGTCTCCCCCTCTGGATCGTAAATCCGGGATTTAGTGAATCCTGAAATTTTAGCGGATTTGCGGGATTTGGCCGAAGAAGCGCACGAAATGGCGAAAGGTAGTTATCTTAACAGCGAGCGATCACCCGTAGTTTCTTCCGATTAAAATGTCGTGACTTCCGATCCGACAGAAAGGGAACGTGGTAGAAGGAGCGAAGTCGAACAGCAACGAAGGAGCCGAAGAAGCGACTCTCAAAACTCTACCTCTTATTCGCATGGACGCTCCCCCATCCAGGCATTCGCGAAAATGGCTCCAATCCAGTCCGTCGCTCTCTGATCTGAAATCCCAGTTCGTCTCTCTCGTTAGCATGACCTAGGAAGTCCGGTTGAACACTCAAGGGAATCGAAGTTGTGCCTCTCTGCTTCACTCGAACCTGAAGTATTCTTCCCCTACAGCCAATAATGCCTTTGCCCTAGCCGCCAATTATGCTGTAGGTAGTTCTTCTTCCTTCTTTCTCTTATTCCCTTTCATTAGTTTCCTTCTTCTTGGTTTTGTGAACAAACAAGTTAGGGATTTATCTCCCTCATTGTTAAAATCTAATGGCTGTTTTAAATTTTAACTCAAATTATCTTTCTCTTGCATGTTGATAGAGAGGATAATGAAATTTGTTAAAGGAATGGTGATGAGATTTTCATTCTTACTTTGAATCAAGAGGTGTTTATTTTCTCTTTTCTTAAAAAAAAAAATCTTAAAACAAACTTGCTTATTTTGTTGAGATGTGTATAGTTAGAGGATTTTAAGTGTCAGTTGTGAATCTTCTGATATATCATCCTGATTGTTCGTTCTAAAACTTTAAACAAAACCTTTGAATTAAGTTTAATTAGGGAAATATTCAATACAACGGACCTTCCAACCTACAATAACTCAAATACAGTAGAATGTTACCAAATAAAAGCGCTTCTAGGTCATTGATGCTTATAATTTTGCGCTTTGATTAGCTGTAAGTTTTCATTTGATATTTTTCTTCTTGTTTTTGCATTTGGATTATTTAATGCTTGTAAATGAATTTAGTACTCTTTTAAAAAGTTTGATATTCTATTACTTAGAATGCAAGAATTGGCTCTATTCAATGCAAGAATTTTACAAAGTTCAACACTTTGATAATTGAGATATTATTTTCTTTCTATGTATTTTTGTTATTTCACTGTGCTTTTTTTTTTTTTAATTTATTCATATTTCTTGTTTGCACTTTGGGTACCTAATATCCTATGCTGCAGCATCCCCTATCCATTGACTCCAACGCACGATTTGGTTTTGCTCATTGATCCATGCTATTTTTCGAAATTCCTCTTGCCCTGCATATCATTCAAGGTAAATTAATTATTATAAACAATTTGTCATTTGTTAAATCATATAATTGCTTACCATTGATTTATAAACACCATTTGCAGGAATTCTTGTTTAATTTGTATTACTTACATTCTAAGATATCTCACATTCTTATTTATAGTGATTGTGTAAAGTTATTAAATTTTAATAACATGAGTTAAATTGATTTTCTAATTTTATTATTCACATTGCATGCTATTAGGCATTTTTAATTTAAATTGATTTACTATTGATTTATGAGCACCATTAGTTTTTAATAATTGCTTATTTTATGTTACCTATTTCTTTTATTTTTTTATATTACCTGCACCCATCTCGTATAAGATTTTATGTGATGCATTTTTTTATTTAGTCCAAACCCTTCTATATTAAACTATGGCTGTCCTCCCTTAGAATTAGTTAAGATTATTCTTCATATAAGCAAGTGTGATGTAGGATGAATTCAATTGTGGGATTAATACAATTATTTGTTGCTTTGTTTAAGTGTATGTGAGTTAGCTTTATGGTTTTCTTTATCCTTTTAGTTATTTGAGTCTTCAATGCCTCGTGAAGTTCTTTCGTGAGAGTCTTGTTTATGTTTCATTGAGGTTCTCTGTTGAGGTTTCAAGAACCATTAGTTATCTTTTCTTTATACTCTACCATCCCTTTTGCTCTTAGCCATGTATGTTTTCCAAGTTTTTGATTGACCACTACATCATAACTCAACCTCCATTAACATCCTCAAAACTCCACATAACAACACTACTATTAAATCTATACAATTATTAAAATGTAGATTGTGAATCTTCCGATATATCATCCTGAGTGTTTGTTAAAAAACTTTAACTTAATATCCATCGTTATTCATTAAATTAATAAGGCCAATGTTCTGCTCGCTGGGTACGTGCAACATCTCAATGTGCTGTTTACTTTTTTGGCTTGATATGCATTTATTTTCTTATTGGAAGTTTTTCTTTTAATTTGATTTATTTTAATTCAATTAAGCATCTACACATACATTATAATTCTCAAATGTGTGTTTACTTTATTATAACCCAGCTTCCAATCAATAGATTAAGGGTTCGTTTGGGATATCTGTCTTTGACATAATTTTTTTATTAAGGCAATATTTCTTAAAGGTAATATAGAAATTTATCAGAGAAGTTAGGTTTTTAATTTGGAGAACAATCTTATTAATGTTAACACCCACATGGCCACAAATATTCAATATCAAATATTTTTTTAATCAAGAGATCATATTATTAGAGGCTTAATTTTTTATGGGACATTTAGGGCCGTTTTGATTTTTAACAAGAGGCAATGGTGATGAAGGATTCATGTAGCCGACCCCACATAGTGGGAGAAAAGGCTTGATGTTGTTGTTGGACATTTAGGGGCATAGCACAATTTTATTATTTAAAAAGGATAACTACAATAGTTAGAACCTATGAAACCGGGAAAATTTTTATACAGCATTACATGCTGAGAATTGGAATAGAGAAAATCTAAACAATTTAAACATATTCCAAAGTAACAAATATAACTTAGAAAATACAAAAAAAAAACCCATAACCAGGTGTAGTATATGAAATAGTTGATCATCATTGCCTTGCAAAAATACTACAAATCAATTTCCAAACCATTAAAAAAAATTGAAAATGATATGAGAAAATTCAAGGAAAAAAAATGTAAGTACGAAATTTTGTGCATCTTCATCACGACCGACCCTTGTCATCATGCAGGTATAAAGTTTTTTTTTTTTTTTGGTTTGCTATACACTAAATTTTCTTTTGTATTTCTTATAACTCTTGTTGAATTGCTACAAAACTGTTCAATATTTACATATATATTGGTATCTAATTCTGTATGTTAATTTCTTCAATTTCGTTTAGATACCAAAAAAACATATATATTTTGGTTTAATTGCTTTATTGATTTAAGATATTATTTATTGGCATTTGCCAACCAGCTGAAATAGAGAGTAGCAGTGATAACTTTTTTTTTATTTAAATGCAACTAATGTTATCCTACCTAGCATTTCATCTTTTAGCAACAAATCACTTTCAACTTATTAATACCATATGATAATATAAATTTAATTAAATGAATGTAATCTAAGTCCACCTTGGGTTGGGATATGTACGGTGTTGAGGAACTATTAGTAAGCCAGACTTTAATGTTTTTAACCATCATCCCTTATATTCCAGTTTGCAATCCAACTACTATTATATCACCTTTCCAGGTATGACTAAATTTAAGGTTTTTTATAATCTCAACTAGGCATGTTTAACTTTTTTATTTTATTTTAAGCATTATTTTCTTATGAGTCATTTTCAAGTGCTTCTAATTGTTAACTTGATTTGTATGCTACACTGCTTATATCATCATACTTCTTCTCTACACATTATGAGATGTTTGATCAAAACATACTTTTGCTTGCAAATGAATATTAAATAAGATCATTCGAGATATTGATATTTTGTAAATCATCAGGTTTTGAAAGGTTTCTAAAGAATTCAAGCTAAATGATGACATCATATAAATCATCAGGTTTTGGTGTTGTTCTTTGAGCGCAGGTTGTGAAAGATTTCTTCAAGGGTTGGTCTCCGACTTTGCTTGGTTATAGTCGTAAACATGCATTTAAGTATTGTTTTTATGAGTTATTTAAGAAATACTACTCTAATATTATTGGACCTAGTATGTTGTGAAGTATAACACTTTGATTTATCTTGATTGATTTTGCTTAATTTATTGCGGATATTGCTATTTGTCCGTTGCAGGCTGTGAAGGTTTGCATTCAAACTCAACAAGGCTTTGCAAGAGGGTTAAGTGATGGGTTATCTAAGATTGTCAAATCCAAAGAGAATCTCAGGTACTTCTTCAAAGATATGAAATTCAAGCTAAAATGTGATCAAATGCATTGATGAAACTTAAATACTTTTTTAATTTATATTTCTTTAACTAGACCTTATTTAGAAGGTCTTTCAAATGCTACTGTATTACTTTCTATATAATGATTATTTTGTTGCACGATCGTTAGAAGTTAATTTTTCTTAAATAATTGACCCAGTGTAAGATTATTTTGAAGCACTATAATAAGCTTATTTCAACTCACATGTTGTGATGTATAAATCATTGAATCTATTGAGAATATCTTATATGAATCAATTTTTTTTTCCGTAAAATCTCATGCACAATTATTCAGTATTTAATCCTTGTATAGGACTTCTGCCCAGGTTCTAATTCAAGTTATTCCCAACATTCATTTCGAAAAGAAAAGTCTCTTTCTTTCTTGTTGTAATTTTGATCCAAAATCCTTCAGATTCATTTCTAGGTAAGGTCTTATAACTTTTAATTGTGTAATCTTCAGATTCATTTCTAGGAATGCTATTCAAAATACTTTTAAAGCTGTAACTGTCCGTGTGCCAATTGGTCTTGAAGCATTGAATTTCCAAATCAGTAAACACAGAAGCTTTTTCTTCAATGTTCTTGTTACTGTAAGAGTTATACTATAGGATTAAAATTTTCCTCTCTGTTTCGTTGCAGTAAATTGTTTGGACCTTGTTTTAATTTATCTGATTAATTTATACTTCATACTGCATTTTACTGTTTGAAGATAACTTTATTTTCTACAAACAACTCCTTATAATGTACTTCGTTGTATTTTTTATATTGTAATAGCATTTTAATGCACTTGTAATATTAAATTAAATTTCCACAAACTGTTTGTTCTTACAATTTAGAGATGGCATCCTTTTTAAATTTGATTATTATGATTTTGTTGCAAACTCATTGTTGGGTTCACAATAAATAATAGATTCTAGAATGTCAACAATCTAGAAATTGAGTAGGGGATACAAAGAGACAGTAAACTTAACTGAAGAGAGGCTTGCAACATTTCTTTTCATCATATCTAATTCCTTCAAAAATATACTATTTATATAAACAAGACTTAAGGGCTCATATACTATATTTTAACTCCTAACACTCATGATTTGGCTATAAATTACAAGTACTTACGGAGATCTGTTAATATAGTCCCAATTTAATTCAAGTTATTGAACCTAACGGATTAATTTTGCAAAAATTATGCAACGATCGAATTTCTTTAAACTGATTGGTTGACAGGTTAATGGAACATAGTCGCGCTCTTTGAGATTTGGGTTGTCGTATAAATGAAGGTTATTAAGAGATAGTTTTATAAATATATAAATTTTGGGTGTTAATTCTGCAACTGTACATGTGAACGAGATCCAACTTTTCTAATCGAGGTTTGTTGATTTTGCTTCATGTCATTGGAGCAGTGGTTTCAGCTTTAACTGCCATTAGAGAACTTTCTAGCTTTATGGATTACATTTCTAAATATTAAAATTGCCTTGTTAGATTGGTTTGGACCTTGTGAAATTCGAATTTGATATGCTAAAATTTATTTAATCACTTATTTTATTTTGATAGTAAAAGAAAGTTGGCTAGTTAATAGATTAAACTAAGATGCTCATGTCACCTACAATAATATAAGATTTCTAAGTGTTCTTTTGTTTAGCTGATTGCAAAATTAATGTCAATATAAAAATTTCCTTTCATTAGTATATTTTAAATATATACTTTGCGTGGATATAATCTGTAGAAGTATTTTATAAATAAATCTATGGAAAGACAGGGAATACTTATGTTGTTTTTTTTTTCTTATTTTATCTTTAGTTTACTTATGTAATATATTAGAGTTGTTTTGTTTTCATTTTTCTCTCGTATATAACACAAGTAGCTTTATGTTTCTTGTCATAAATTTATATTTGCACCAGGCATGTAAAAATATTGACTTGATCCGTCAATCTGATGTGAAAATAATGAATTCGGGTTAATTTTGGATTTCATGATCATTTAGGATTGTAATTTTATTCATCATAGAAGGTTCTATCATAAATATTTCGATCAATAATTGAACACAATGAATTTGATCAATAGCTTCATGTTTTCATGTTGCTTACTTCACTGGTAATGATCTGTATTAGAATAAGGTAGATAGGATAGATTAAAACTTTCTTTGATTGAGATTACTTAGTTACGTTCGTGTTTTAGTACTATACAGGTTATTCATGTGTAGAGATGAGGGTTTTATGCTGCTAGCTTTTATAGATCATATTATCTCGTGTTCTTTATAATGTTGCCAATAATTTTTTATTTCATGTAGAAAATGTATGGAGGAAAGAATATTGTTGGTTTTTTAGAGCATTTTCTTTCTGTATAAATGACTTGTTTTTGGAGAACATAATGAAATTTTGTGATTAAATTTACCATTATGATTGAAATTTTAAGGCTAGTTTTTATGGAGACATTTTAAACAGTTTACACACTTCTTAGAGAGTATCCCTGTGTCTTTGATCACAAAAGGTTTTTCATTTCCCGAATTAATTGATTGAAAATGTTGGCTGTTGATGTTTTGATGCAAGCAAAAGATATAGGCTCCCTATATTTTCAGCTCGACAAAACACGGGCGGACTTCTACGGACGAAATTGAGAAAGAGACGAGAAGAGGGACGAACAAACTCTTATATTTCAAATTAAAGAAACAAAAGGAAATTAAAAACACAAACTTGACTCGATCTCAAAGACACCCTAAAGTTGCTGCACTAAGAGAAGAGAGATACAGGTGGAGTGGCACTTGCGGAGAGACGAAGAGATTAGAAGCCCGAGGAGAAAGGTTGGAAAGAGCCCGCAGGATTTTCGGAGGAGATGAGAAAGAAGGGTGGAAAGAGCCCGCAGGATTTCCGAGCAACCCGCAGGTTAATAGATTTTTTTCCAAAAATCAAATTTCATGACTTCACTTACTTCAAACATAAATAATCCCCCATATTTATAGATATGAAAGGGAATAAAAAGAGATACATTACATTAATTTTGACACAATAAACTAAGCATTAAAACATAAAAATATCCCACCCAAGCTCACGATTAAACACCCAAACCAGGAACCAAGGAGACAGCCATGGGAGACGAGGGGAACCGCACGGACCGAGAGCCACGACCACAGGAAATGAAGGAACCGCATGGACCAAAGAGCCACAGCCACGGGAGGAGGAGCCCAGCAGTGAGATCCCAAGAGGCAAACACAAAAAAATAAAAAGCCATGGTGGAATTCAAGGAGCCACACATGGGAAGACTAAACAACAATCTTAGATTCCCAAAAGCCTTATTTTGGAAATCCAAGAGACAACTTTTAAGACATTAAAAACTATAATAAAAGTGCATTTAAATAAAAATAAATATGAACTAAAATTCATAGCTAATAATGAGCTAATCCCTAGTTCAATAAATGAACTAAAGCCTAGCTCATAAATGAGCTAAAATTCTAGCTCAATTTTGATTGAGCTACTAGACTCAAGGGAGGCCAAAATATGATTTATTTTGGACTTGTGTTGACCCCCCCTTTGTCTACATCAGACTCCCCTTCTTGCGAATTCAGCTCCTGATGAATTATCTGTTGTTGATTCCCTTGAGGCGGTGCATACTATTCATCGAGCTTCTTGAGTTTTTCTCCAAACCTTTTCAGAATTTCCTCTTGCTCCTTTTCAAATTGCTGTTGCAGATACCTTTTGTATTTTTCAAACCTTTGATCACATAGGAACATGTGATACTGCAATTTGTATAGTGGATCCGTTGAGTCTCCTTCTGTAGGTATCCATCTGTCCAACGGGAGTGGGACATCAGGATTATGTTGATTAGTTTCTTCCATGAATAAAGCCATATTTTTAGGATTTTCCATTTTTTGACTCAATAAAAAAAAATTACAAGACTCAATCTAAAAACTTAAGACAAGACTAAC